AAGAGAGGACTTTTTTTTTACACTCATTCATACTTGCTTTTTGTGTTGTTTTATTAAAATTATAAAAATAATTTCCAGCTTTTATGAATTTTCCAATTTTTTTTTAAATTTTGAATGCAGCACTTTAGGTTTTGATGTCACTTCTGCACAGGTAGATGACAGATGGAAAGATAGATTGGGTGATGTATAGATAGACAGGCAGACATGAAGACAGATTTCTGAATCTTAGCTTGTACTAAGTGTCTAGACAGATTTCTGAATCCTAGCTTGTACTAAGTGTCTAGACAGATTTCTGAATCCTAGCTTGTACTAAGTGTCTAGACAGATTTCTGAATCCTAGTTTGTACTAAGTGTCTAGACAGATTTCTGAATCTTAGCTTGTACTAAGGGTCTAGACAGATTTCTGAATCCTAGATTGTACTAAGTGTCTAGACAGATTTCTGAATCTTAGCTTGTACTCAGTGTCTAGACAGATGTCTGAATCCTAGCTTGTACTAAGTGTCTAGACAGATTTCTGAATCCTAGCTTGTACTAAGTGTCTAGACAGATTTCTGAATCTTAGCTTGTATTAAGTGTCTGGTGATTTGCTTCTCTGATCATATTGATTAGAGTGTTGTAGAAAAGATCATGTGAATGAATATGTCTTATGAATGGATGGGGGCGTTTTATTATGGATTGGTGTGTCTTATGAATGGATGGGGGCGTTTTATAATGGATGGGTGTGTCTTATAAATGGATGGGGGCGTTTTATTATGGATGGGTGTGTCTTATGAATGGAAAAATGTTTCTTATTAATGGATAGATGTGTTTTATGAATGAATGGACGACTGTGTCTTGTGAATAGATGAGTGTGTCTTCATATTGGATGGGAGCCTCTTATAAATAAATGGGTGCATTTTATGACGGGGTTTTCTTTATGAAAAGATAGGGGTGTCGATGGGCGTAGCCAGGATTTTAGGAGTCAGTTAAAGAGATCGGGTCTCAATCAAAGAAATCCTATGCCGAACTAGGAATCGACTCCTTAGTAAGGTTGTGACAGAGCGTCGCATGAGGTTTGCGGGACATGAAGGACATGTTCTCCGACAAAATGAATTACGCACAATAAGAGCTGCGATAACATGGAGGTCATTACGAGAAAAGCGAAAACAGGGACATCCTAGTAGAACTTGGCGCCACACTTTCATGGAGGTCCTCAGAGCAGGTGCGAAGAGACTTCAGACATTGCCAGTGACAGATTTTTGAGGAAGCATTTCGCCGAACGACGCGGGAGGATCTTGGTAAGTAAGAATAGCATATAAGGTTTTTGAAATAAAACTTTTTAATAGCAGGATAATGCACTGTAGATACCTCAGAATATGCATTTTATCGGCTTTCAATACCGGATATAGTGCTTGGCGGCGGGGCTCACAGCGCTTCCCCAGACCCCTTTGCTGGCAATGGCGTGGAGTCTACAATTTTTAAACTAAGTCTAGGAAGAACCTATTCTAGGGTACAATAAACACAAGAATGAAGGGTCAGATTGTAATAAAGATTAATTATGTACACACACATTTTTTTTCGCGCGGGGGGGGGGGGGGAATTCCCCTCAACCCCCACAATCCAGAAAAAAATCCTGACTGCACCATGGTGTCTAGTGGTATGGTATACAAGTATGGAAGTGTGTCTAGTGGTCTGGTATAAATGTAAGGTGTGTCTAGTGGTTTAATATAAATGTATGGAAGTGAGCCAAGTGGTTTAATATAAATTTATGGAGTGTAGGTAAATAATGTTAAGGAAGGGTGTGGGAGAGAAGGGTGTGGGAGAGAAGGGTGTGGGAGAGAGGGGGTGTGGGGGAGAAGGGGGTGTGGGGGAGAAGGGGGTGATAGAGAAAGGCGTAGGAGAGAAGGGTGTAACAGAGAAGGGTGTGGGAGAAAAGGGTGTGGGAGAGAAGAGTATAGGTAAAAATGGGTGTGGGAGAGAAATGGATGTGGGAGAAAAGGATATGGGGGAGAAGGGTGTGGCAGAGAAGGGTGTGAGAGAGAAGGCTATGGGAGAGAAGAGTGTGGGAGAAAAGGCTATTGGAGAGAAAGGGGCGGGAGAGAAGGCTATGGGAGAGAAGAGTGTGGGAGAGAAGAGTGTGGGAGAGAAGAGTGTGGGAGAGAAGGCTATGGGAGAGAAGAGTGTGGGAGAAAAGGGTGTGGGAGAGAAGAGGGTATGTGAAAAGGGTGTGGGAGAGATGGGTGTGGGAGAGAAGGGTGTGGGAGAAAAGGGCGTAGGAGAGAAGGGTGTGGGAGAGAAGGGCGTGGGAGAGAAGGGTGTGGGAGAGAAGGGTGTGGGAGAGAAGGGCGTGGGAGAGAAGGGTGTGGGAGAGAAGGGCGTAGGAGAGAAGGGTGTGGGAGAGAAGGCTAATTGGAGAGAAGGCTAATTGGAGAGAAGGCTAATTGGAGAGAAGGGTGTGGGAGAGAAGGGTGTGAGAGAGAAGGGTGTGGGAGAGAAGGATGTTGTGGAGAAGGGTGTGGGAGAGAAGGGTGTGGTGGAGAAGGGTGTGGGAGAGAAGGGTAGTAGGAGAAGGGTGTGGGGGAGAAGGGTTTGGGAGGGAATGGTGTGGGAGAGACATCCAGAGTACGCGTGTAGTTAATGTGTAGGATCTAAAAATTATTTTCCTTTGGAGTGATTTTTTAAAATAATTTTTCAATCATTAAATTTGATGGGATAACTTTTGACCGTTACGAAGGGAGAAAGATGGGTAAAATCGCGTTGGCAGAGACATTGCGATGTATTCTGCAAAAAAAAAAAATGTGAGAATGTATTGTTCATCTTACTGCAGACGCCCCGCGCTTAAGGTCCATACGTGAAAGACATTTCGTAATTTAATAAATTAATTTCCGCATTGGTCGTATCGTATTACTTTACTACTCAAGTATGAACCTATAGCGTCAGCTTTAATTTTATTTTACAGCTCTATGAACAAGGAAGAATGCAATGAAATCGTTCAATCAAACAAATGTGACATTTTTTTCCAGTTATGCCACAAAATACTTATTTCGAACTTCAGATTTTCTGTTCAAGACAGGATTATCAATGTATATCTTGTTCGATCTTTATATGATCCCAGTGTGTAAACTCTTGGATTGCCCAGGGTTGTTTTTTTAAAAAGAAATTCTCTTATTTCGAGCGGCCTCTGAAAGGAAAAAAGCAGCTCTTAAACTTGTGTAGTCTGTCGGTCCGTCCGTCATTTTTAGATTTCAAAACAATAAGCGCTATTAAAAATGAGATTGCAATTTTTTTTCCTTGCTCAATATAGCTGCAATGTCTCCTTTTCTTTTTTATAATTGAACCTTTTTTTAAATACAAATTTACGTACGGCTGTAGAACCAAATGAGCTTTACATCATTATATCTAATACATTTCAATGTGCGTATAGACAGAATGAAAATCTTATACCTTACTTTACTATCTATCAAATGAATATGTAACAATGACTTGGTGTCCCTTTCATTGTTGGCTTTAGCTGAGAGGTTCAAAGTGCATTCATGTCAAGGATGTCTGTAGCTGAGAGGTTCAAAGTGCATCCATGTCAAGGATGTCTGTAGCTGAGAGGTTTAAAGAGCATCCATGTCACGGATGTCTGTAGCTGAGAGGTTTAAAGTGCATCCATGTTTCGGATGTCTGTAGCTGAGAGGTTTAAAGTGCATCCATGTTTCGGATGTCTGTAGCTGAGAGGTTTAAAGTGCATCCATGTTACGGATGTCTGTAGCTGAAATGTTTAAAGTTGAAACATGTTCCCTAATGACCTGATGTAATATGTAAACTCTTCGTGATAGTGAAAGTCTTGATCCACTTTTATTTGTTAAGATGGAGTGTCACATGTTTGTAGATGCTCAGATATCTCGAGCTTTGAAGCTAAAGAAACAAAACAGGTGCAGTACTTCTTTGTTTCTGAAGTGAGAGAGGATATGTTTATTTTTATTCTCTTACACACAATTTTTTTTTAGCTCATTACCCTCTGTAAAAATGCCTGTGCTGAGTGGCTTTGTTGATCAATGATTATGATTTGACCAGATCATTAATAATTCTCAGTCATCAATAACAAAATACATTAAAGAACATGAACCAACTCATTTCAGATAAGTGCTGCATCAGCATTATTAATACTTCTGTCCATTGATTTGCAGAGATTTGATAGTTTGTGTTTTTCTTTCCCAATTAAACAAAGCTGGACAGGTCTGATACATAAAGGACAAGACTTATGCATGCTGTACTTCCACTGTGAAGTGTATACAGAGAAAAAGAGACTAGTTCAGTTCATCAAAGGATATTTAGGAATCTGTGAGGGAAAATTGTAAGGGTATCTTGTAAAGATTAGTTGAGAATTAGTTGAGGGAAAATTGTATGGGTATCTTGTAAAGATTAGTTGTGAGAATTAGTTGTGAGGGAAAATTGTAAGGGTATCTTGTAAAGATTAGTTGTGAGAATTAGTTGTGAGGGAAAGTTATAAGGGTATCTTGTAAAGATTAGTTGTGAGAATTAGTTGTGAAGGAAAATTGTAAGGGTATCTTGTAAAGATTAGTTGTGAGAATTAGTTGTGAGGGAAAATTGTAAGGGTATCTTGTAAAGATTAGTTGTGAGAATTAGTAGTGAGAATTAGTTGTGAGAATTAGTTGTGAGAATTAGTTGTGAGGGAAAGTTGTAAGGGTATTTTGTAAAGATTAGTTGTGAGGGAAGTTGTTAGAGCAAGTTGTGAAGGTAATTTGTTAGGAAAAGCTACGAGGAAGGGGGTTAGTTGTAAGGCTTGTCGAAAGTATCCTGCTAATCCCATTTAACAGCTTATAAATATATATTAAAACAAGTCAAGTCTATTTTTTATCGCAGTACAACAAATATGTGAGTAGATGAAGATCTAATCTTTTTATGAACAGATAGCTGGGTCTGCCAAAACCTGGATTTTTTGTTCAGAATGAGTAGAGAAACAGTTTTTAGAGAAAACTGGACAAAAAAAGTTTAATAAAAAATAAATACAAATTTAAAATAGTTTGAATTATTTATTTTTCTACTATATAAATATAAGTTATTTAAAATATAACATAAAAATGTAAACAAAAAATTTATTAAAAATGTCATTATGAATGGGTGTTGACTAAAACTGTTCTCACATTCAACACGGGGATGAAAACAAGAAATAAAACAAAAGAACTAACACAACATTCACTGGACAGTCAGGTCACATTCAAGTTGGTGGAAGTACAGACACGAGTGTGGTACATCTGCTGGTGTGCTTTCTATACATCAAGTGTCATTGAATTGCAAAAAAAAAAAAAAAAAAAAAGAATACCATATATTGACAAAGTACAGCTTCATCAACATCAAACACAATTTGATAGAAATCAATTGATGTAAATGAATTTATATTTAAAAGCATTCTGAACTTTCATAACTAAACTTAGCCAAAGTTTTTCTTCTGCTAAATTGTTTTTACCGAAAGTCTATATAATCACTTAGCAATGAGTTCTTACATGCCCAGCTATTCTGCAGATTGGAGATAACAGCAGGCAAGGTTTGATAAGGTTTGGCCAGACAGCAATGACAAGAGGGAATGTCAAAATATCATTTATAAAAACTGAACATGTGATTCTTCTTTCAATTGACATAGCTGTACACAGCTTGAACACCTTGAGACTCCCAAAATAGATCAGTTTGTAAAACTTGTGTCCATTTTGGTCTATCAGACAAAGTGACTTCTGGACACAATGGAAATGTAAGTTGAAGGCACATAGAATAACATTCTAGACCCTAACCCTAACATTCTAGACCCTAACCCTAACATTTTAGACCCTAACATTCTAGACCCTAACCTGAGCATCTGTTGTATGTCAAACATTTTAAAAAGATTCTTAATTAAACAATTTTATTATTTTCTTATTTGCTTTGATTTTTTCCCCCCTCATCCTGAATAGCTCTTAAAAATTACATGTAACAGAATTTGTGTGTGTGTGTAAAACTTTAAGTAACATTACAAAAATGTAAAAGCTGTAATGTTAAATTTAAAATTTGTTTTGTTTGTATATCATCAAGTTCATTTACTTATTGAATTAAAACAATTTGCTCAAGACAGAAAAAATTCAATTGTTCATATTACTAGCTAAACAATTATAGATATTTTTATTGCTTTAAAAACAAATAATTTTCATTGTTTAAAATAGCAGTATAAAAGAAATAGCCAACTATGCAAGTAATTATAAAGTTAAAATTACAAAACACTGGAAACAATATGCTATTAATAAATAATGTTACATTATGTAGGACACATTGCCCTCAACAAAAATATATTCAATACACATACAAAAGTTGCTGATAAAAAAATATTTTGATGTATAATAAAATTGAGTAGTAAAAAAAAAGATGTCCATTTTCCTGAGACAGAGAAATACAAAATGAAGTGTAAAAATAGGCCTACAATAATGATATGTTGATTTCAGAATTTGAAATGAGATGTCCTTTCAGTTTAATGCACCTTTGCAGATTTTAAGAATATTGGACATCCATTTATTGAAATTATATCTTCATACATTTTTATCATTTTCTCATTTTCCTTTTTACTAACTAAAGAAAATAACTGATTGTTCAACTGTTCTAGAAATATCATAATATAAAATGTAGTCAATGAAACTGTGCTAGATGTGTGCAAGATCTATTTCCCTTGCAATTATCACAGATATTGTGGATAAATCTAAAGTTTACAGGATGGAAATATAAATTACAAGAACTAGCAGGAATATTAAAAGTATCATAATTTAAAGTTACATGAAAATTGTATGATTTAAAGCTTATAACAAATAATGAGAAACAGTAATAATAACATTTTTGTGCAGTTATGTATCATCAGTAGTACCAAGTAGTACAAGTACCAAGTAGTACAAGTACCAAGTAGTACAAGTACCAAGGCTCATTTCAAGTTATAAAATAGTAGAAATGTTGAAATTCCAATGGACATTAAAAACATTGAGATGGCAGCATTAGGTAATATTTCATTTAATAATTTATATTTTATCACAGGACTTTCTGAGTTTCATTTTTAAGTTCTAAATTTTATAAAATATCATCATTGCAATGAAACTTTTGCTAAGAAATAATTGTTGACATATAATGTCAATTCCAAATGTAGTCTGTTGCTTTTATTGAAACATTACAACTTTCGCTGTCGGTTTTTTAGAAGGATCAGTTTCAAAAGGCATCAAAAAGGAAATAGTTCAAACTAATATATCCTAGGATCACGTCTCATGGGGGACACAGATCGTGCTCGGGTTCGAAGCTTTGCAGCTTTTCTTCTGGAGCGTTCTCTAGATCTGGCGATAACAGGATCTGTGGCATCAATGGTGTTGTGGAAGAGTGGTGCACTCCCTTCATGCACACCTTGCAGAGCATCTTCCAGAGACAGTGTGGAGAAGGTTGTAGCATGATGAGCCTGGATCAACTTTTCTAACCTGGTGATGATCTCATAATCTGGAACAGCCAATGTGTTGATATCTAAGCCCAACATTCGAGCCACAACAGTTCGGAAATCTACCAGCTGAAATACCCAGATAAACACAACATGATTAAGTATATGTCTACAAAATTTAAAATGTGAGTTGGTTTGCTAAAGTTTGAGGACATTTTGCCACTAGCCTGAAAAAAAACAACTAATAAAAGCTTCTAACATGCAGTGTGTGTGCCTGCACATTTACAAAACATAGTCCGACACACTGAATGAGTTTCTGCAGTCAAGAATGCAAGAAAATGCTAAGCATTGGGGCTCCACCCTAAACACACTGGTGGAGCTTACAGCACTCCTCCAGACCCGCTAGCTGCCAAGAGAAGGGCCAAAAATACTTTTTTCCCCCCAAAGATTGAGAAACACAGCTCTAATTACAATATGGACCCCTTTTTGTTATTCTCTGATATATATATATATATTATATTTAGAAAAAATGAAGGCATTGAGAGCCTACTTTTGTTGCTAGTTTATTGTGAGTACAACAAGAGAAATGCTGACTAACACTGTAGTGATGGGCAAAAGAAACTTTTAGTTTAACTAAAAAAAATTAGCTAAGACCATTGTTTAACTAAAAAAAAAAAAAGTTTAGTTAAAATCGTAGTTTAATTAATTTTTTTTAGTTACTAACTAAAAAGTTTAATTAAAATTTGTACACAACTTTTCAACAGTGGTCAGGGTTGAAATGCACATCCTTGTTTTCTGGTCATGTGATATCAATAACTTTGATTATCAAAAAAATGATGCAGTTAACAACTATTTAGTCAGTCTGCACTTGAAGAGGGTAAAGTAAGATGCTGGTAGAAGTCATGGGAGTAAATATTTGCAATTGAAAGTAGCAGTATTATAAAATGTTGTTCAACATTTTTTGCTAAAAGCTTCTATGCAATATTATGAATGGGATTGTTCGAGTTTTTTTATGAGCCATGTGGTGGTGTTTAATTTCTGTTTATAGAGGGAATCTGATTAGTGAGTTAGGTCAATATTATGTTTAGTGGTTTTGATCAATGCATTGCAGCAAACAATAATTTTTTTACTGCAGAAACATCAACTACACCCTTTTTATAGTCTTAAGACTTATTATTGAGATCTAAGAATCAATAGTTAGGCCTATATAGATCTTAAAGCATTAGGATAACCAACTCTAGAAAAAGAAATCTTAATTCACACCCTCTCTTGACCACAAAGTAAATAGAGTGTGTCAAACTAATTTTAACAACCTTGTCATCTAGACATACATATGTTGGCCTAGTGTAGGCCTAGTGTACTGTACGTGTGTAGTCAATGATACTACAAGACTACCCTGCATTTTTTTTATTATGTGTTATGCAAAAGTGTTTGCTTAATGTGGAGTGGTCAGACGAGGCATGGCTAGTCAAGCATGTTCTTTACACTAAAATAGATAGACACCCTCCCAGCCCAGAAAGTAAATAGACAATTTCGTTTCTATTTTATTGGTTACTAAATGTAATTTTTAAACTTTAATTGTATGTTATTAAATGAGATTTTAAACTTTACCGGTATAAGTAATTACAATTTTCCATTAATTATATAATAAATATAATTTTTTAAAAAAAGAGTACAAGGTTTTAATTGAAGGCAAAAATACAAGCACACATATTTATTTAGACATCTTTTTTTAAAAATGTTATTGTACATTAACGTTTATGTAAGAAACATATTCCTTATTACTGATTTTATTATGGATAAATATTTCTAGTTCAACCCGCAACCCCCCCCCCCCAAAAAAAGTTATGAAAAGTTTGTTATAGTTTAATTAATTTCCTTTAGTTTAGTTTAACTATATTTTGAAATTCATAATAAACTTTTAGTTTAACTACTTTATTTTAGTTGAAAACTAGTTTTAGTTTAACTTTTAAAAGTTAGTTTAGTTCCCATCACTAAACACTAGAAGCTAAAGCTCTTACATATCACAAGTATATGATAGAGTCATACAGACAATACAACTAACCTGTTTCTCCCTATACTTCAATGTGTCTAGAGCATTCTTGGTGGTTCTCAGCTCACTACTCAAAGCCTGCACTGCATTCTCAGAAGCCACTTTCTTCTCCTGGAAGGTTGTCTCTGTGTTGTCCACAGTAGATTTCAACTCTGATATCTTTCTAGACTGACGTTTGCGTATTTCTTCCAACTCTTCAATCTGTTTGGCAAGTTCTTCAATGTCTTTGCGCTGTTCAAGAGTTCGCACCTGCACAAATTAGGAAAATAATAAAATGGTGAAGATTACATTTTTAAAAAGTAGAATATTATTAGTTAAAATGGTGAAGATTACATTTTTAAAAAGTAGAATATTATTAGTTAAAAGTAAAATTTTTTTATTCAATAAACTAGAATAGTTTTCAAATAATAGTTAATTCTCATTATTAGTAGACCAATCAATAACTCATTGTTTCAAGCATATTTCTCATTAACTCTTTCAGTGCGTATTGTTTTGATTGAAAAAATGGGAGTTTTCCCAGGACAAAGGAAATTGTGTTGGGGGGTAGAATTACTCAAACTAATACAACTTTTTATTTTTTTATATAATGTAACATATTTGATCTTATTTTAAAGAAAAATGAATTGGCTACAAAAGTGTAATAAATAAAATTAATTATTCAAGAAAATATTTTTTTTATTGTTGAAACTGAGTATGGGAAAGGAAATATTTTTAAAAATTCATTAAAATTCGATGTACTCAAAGATTTAACCTTTTAATTATACATTTAATTCATAAATATTGAAAAATCATAAAACTCAACACATGGTATCCCTTCAAATTTCATAAAAGATGAACTAATT